ATATATATATATATATATATATATATATATATATATATATATATATATATATATATATATATATATATATATTAATTAGTAGAAAGTCACTTAATAGAAAATTTTTTAAAAGTTTTCGATGTAACATTGTAAAATGAAAAAAAAAATTTGTTAAGTAATTTTCTACTTATTTATAATTGCTCTGTTCTTTTAAGAACATTGAGCACTCTATTTTGTAGAATACATTTTGAATATTGTTTAAATATATATATATATATATATATATATATATATATATATATATATATATATATATATATATATATATATATATATATATATATATATATATATATATATGTTCTTTATTTATTGTATGCATTCTTTTTTTTTTTTTCTTTTTTTTTTTAGCTCTAAAGACGCAAACCGAAAAGAATGCCTAAAGTGGTTTTCAAAAGATGAATTGACGAATTTCTTAATTCTTTTTGTTTCGTTGTGATAATTTGTCGTATGAGGACGCTAACGAGAAAAAACTTTTTAAATATAGAAACATGCGTAATATAAAGTTTACTTATGCCTATAAAAAAATATGTTTTACATTAATTAATAAATTAACTTTTTAGTTTCTTGTTATAAATTGTATTCTGTATTGAAGTTTATTTCTGAGAATTTGTAATTATACCTAAGATAATCTAATCCTACATTGTATTTTAATTTATAAAACTCGATATTTTAAAATAAATATATTACTTTTTTATCGCGCTTAACTTCTCTTATTTCGCGTTTATTGGTTAAAAAATTTTAAAATGTTTATAAACTTTTGAAACTTTTATAGCAAAAATAAAAAATCTTTTTTAAAAAAACTTCCAGCGAATCTATTTTTATACATAAACATGAAAATTCGCTAGAAAAGTTCGCTGGGTTTTGGAACAAGTTCGCTGGAAATTTCCAGCGAACTTCCAGTGATCTTTAAAGATCACTGGAAAAGTTCGCTGGAAGTTCGCTGGGTTTTGGAACAAGTTCGCTGGAAATTTCCAGTGAACTTTAGAGATCACTGGAAAAGATCACTGGAAGTTCGCTGGGTTTTGGAACATTTTTTCACTGGAAGTTCGCTGGGTTTTTTTGTAAGGGGTACTTTCTAGTATTTCACTATTTAATTTATTGAATAAAGTAGCAGTTTTTATTCGTAGATCATATTAGAGAATGGGCATTTTTTCGGCGGAAAAGCAAACTGATGAACACCATCGCAGGGTTTTAACTAAAATATTTGTCAAATTTGCAAATCCAGATTCTGGTTTATACGTTAAACTTGTAGTTACATTGTTTCATCTAAAACAATTTAAGTTTTATACCTGATGTTTGTGTAAAGGCAAAAGGCTTCAAAGATGGACTCCTGAAATATGAAACGTTTATAACTGCACAGATATATTTACGTATTTTTCAGTTAACAACACCATTGTCAAAATATTTGCAAAGTTTTATTATGGTCTTTTTGATTATAACATGGTAACAAAAACTACAGAAAAACTAAAAACTTATTCTACAGAATTTGATACTGTATTGTTGTGAATAATTTTGTAAGTAAAGTTAATGAAAAACTTGATTTACATGATTTGGAAGCAGAAAGTACTCTGCCAGAAAAGAGATTCCGGCAGAAAAAACTATTTCTTGATAAAGATGGTCCAAGCCAAGCCTGAACTTTCTCTTGATATTCTCACTTCTTATAAAGTAAAATTTAAAACCATCATAGAAAGCATGAGGATGTGTTTTCAAGGAAGTCAAGAATTTAATGCTGATTTTTTTTTTAAGCTCTATATACTTTGAACAGTTAGAAGTTCAAAATATACCAACTACTACTTGTGAAAAATTTTAGTGAACATCTATTGCCATTTGATGAACAAGCAACGGCAGAAAATTTACGTACAGAGCTTATCAGTTTCATTTGGAACTAGGATAGCATTAAAGACTCTGTTTTGACTACATACGTAGTAAAAATTGAATCTTTAATGCTATCTATTGCCTAGTCAGACAAATGACTTAGCGATAGAAAATTCAGGAAATGTTGAAGAAATTGGAAAAAAATTTCATAAGTCATGTGTTGCCTGCAAAAATTGCACCATTTGCTGTTACCTGGTTTTGATTCAATACAATTTAATAAATGAAGTATATGCAAGAATTGGTTTAGCATATAAGTATATTTTGTCGCTTTTATTTACGCAAGTTGCATGCGAAAGAAGCTTTTCCATTTTAAAGTTCATTAAAAATCGTTTGCTGAGTACCATGAATCAAGAAAACTTATAATCATTCATGATGATGAACACAAAAAAAAAATTTTGATGCACCTAGATGCAGACAAAATAAATTGCAGACTTGGAAAATATTGCTTCTGGAAAAAATAACAAATAAAAAAACGTGGCAAATAAAAGTGAATTTAAGAATGTGATTAAGGAAATACCAATACTATTTTCAAATGAAGCAATCAACAGTTTTTTAATTATATACAATATATATATATATATATATATATATATATATATATATATATATATATATATATATATATATATATATATATATATATATATATATATATATATATATATATATATATATATATATATATATATACATATATATATATATATATATATAAATATATATATATATATATATAAAAATATATATATACAGATATATATATATATATATATATATATATATATATATATATATATCTGTATATATATACCTGTATATATATCCTGATATATATATATATATATATATATATATATATATATATATATATATATATATATATATATATATATATATATATATACAGATATATATATATATATATATATATATATATATATACACAGATATATATATATACACAGATATATATATATATACACAGATATATATATATACACAGATATATATATATATATATATATATATATATATATATATATATATATATATATATATATATATATATATATACAGA